AGCGTTTAGATATATTCAGTTACATTCCAGTTCACTGCAATAAAGCCCCCACAGTAACCTGTCTAATTACTAATTGATTTGTTGTGGCGAACTCGCCTCACATCAGTTTGACAGATTCTGTAAATAATGCATCAGATTATAATAAAGTCAACCCTGTCCTTCTCTCCCTGTGGTCGTTGCCCCTCAAAGTAAATCACCTGAATAATTAGAACTTGATTAATGACTCAAAGAGACGGGGGTTCATTACACAGGAGGAACGAAAAGCCTTCATAGTGCCAATCCTGAGTGATCCCAGAGATAAAAATCTAACTTGTATTAACAGGCATTTCCTCCGCTGTAAATTTCACCTTTAAACCCTTCTCACAAAACATTAAACTGATACTACGGTCTCAGTCTTATCTACTTTACTTTTAATTAGGATTCTATAGCTGAGACATAAAAAGGAATCTGACAGCTCAGACCTTTTTGATATTCAAGTGCTGCAACATGCGGTATGAATTATAGGGGGAAACTGCATAATCCTTGACCATGACAGTCCTGTGTGGTATGTGTGTGTGTCAGTCTGTGTGTGTGTGTGTGTGTGTGTGTGTGTGTGTGTGTGCGAGACAGAGAGCGAGAATAATGAGCGGTCACTGGTTCATAAATTCATGTTTGCTGTAATTGAGGCATTTACATGCATTCGTCATGGCAGAGAGGCAGTGAGTCTGCAGGGTTATAAACATTTGTAGGTCAACACGCAGCCAACTGTATCCTGCTCAACACAAGTCATTTCTTTTAATGACGACAGGTACATGCAGGATTGCTTCTATACAAGACAGACGATACAGATCACATTATAAATGCTGTCCTGATGGAGCAAATGTCATGGCTTGTGTCTGTGCTTCAGGGTGATGGGTGATTGAGGTGGCAGCTGCTATGTTGAACTACTCATGTTTCTCCTTTCCATACATGAGTGAGTACAAAAGCTGTCATCTTAGTTGAAATGCTTTCTAGCATACTTGCCAGATATCATGTATTCCTAAATAACTAAATGGAATTAATGGTCATATTTTCATGTCATTGTCATGCCAGTTCTCTTAATGTGTGGTGTCCCCACTGTCGTTTTTTGGTGGAAAGACACTGTGAGGCAATGACTGGTTTATCAACAAAACAATTTTACAATTCAACTTAATTTGTTATTTCACACTTCCCACACAGTTTGACACAGGTGATAATCCCACTTGCACATAACGTGTTCTCCTTCACCCGTTGTGACACTCCTCAATTCCCAGTTCTGCTGTTTGCTCTGCTGAGCAAGTCCAATTTTACAGCGCTGTCCTGCTGCTTTCATATTTGGTAATCCTCTCAGAAAGATGCTTGGGATCCTGAAAGCCTGCTGACCAGGTTCCATCCTCTCCAAATAAAACACACTGGAAGCAAAAAATAGCGTCTTCACTGACAAGTTAGCATTAGCGGTTAGCATTTTTTTCAGGAGAAGGACACCACCTTAAATCTGATTTTTTTTTTTTTGTTTTCTCCAAAGGTTTGGTTTCAAACATCCCACGGCTGGTGTTTAATCCAAAATTTCCCAAAAGACAGACTTCCTAATGCTGTCGAAAATAAATAATCCACAGGTAGCTTCTTCAAAAGAGCTAATGATTACAGTGGAAGGCAAGAGCCCTCTACATTAACAAAAAAAAAAAAAAAAAAAAGGGCCGAGGCTACTACTCAAACAGCCAATCAGGCAGCAGTTAACTTTGGGAATTCAGCGTTGTTTTTAAACACATGGCACATGCCTTGACCTTGAGATTTTGTACCTATCGCCAATTAGTGGCCTCTTAACCAAGCGCAATGAAAACACCACGTTAAAACTGTGTAGGCAGAATGGAATAATGATAAACAAAAGCACCAATCAGATTTTAATGTCATGCATTCATCCAAAATTATATTAATTTTTAAATTACTCAGTACCACTAAAACGACACTATTTTCTACTGCCAGCAGGTGGGGGTTCACCCCACTTATACCCATTAGCCATCAAAATTAAACATGGAGAAGACTGCTAAAAATAGGTGATAGGCTCCTTTCCTATAGACCCTTTTAGGGTTGCTGTCACAATGACGTCAGTTTGTTAGCTGGAGGCAAAACACGACTCACCACCACAGGGCTGTAGGCTATGTAGGAGTCTTAAAATGTTATCTTGTCGTGTTACTAGGAGCCAGAATAGAAGGAGTCATAGCTCAAAACTTAAATTTGATCACATACCAGCCGCCACTGCCCGTCAACAAAAGCAAAGACATCTATTGTTATATGCGATAACATGAAAGGACTGGACGGATCTGAACATAAAAAATGCTCACATGTGCAGCGAGCACTTCATATCCGGTTAGGGAACAAGCATTTTCTGTTGTAGGGATGAATAACGTTATGTGTACTAAGGATTATCATGTCCACCTCATCAGAAACTGGGGAGGTATTAAGAGGAATATTGGATTTCTCAGTAACGCTGACTTTTTAGCGCATTAGCTAACGTTAACTTCAATAGCAAAACAATCTGGAGGAAACCGTGGGCATCCTCCGTGTCGTCCTCCTTTGTAAGATTGGCCTAGTAATCAACCACAACCTGGCCATCCCACCTTCAGCAATCCTGTCAAATCATCCATCCACTGAGTGAGAGCATACAGGTCGGCCAGTCTGGTCCCGTTGGTCAGTGTTTACTTATTCAAGTAACACTCGTGGTCCCGGAGAGTGAGTGACCTGACATGGTGCATTTTTAAATTCAGTCTGATGCTCTACGCTAAAATGAGAGCCCTGTTGGTTGAAGAAACTGAGCGTTATATTTCCACATGAATTAACAAACGGTTAAGTTAATCACATATTCACCCCGCTTGGCGCTCTGCTGCTCCAAGAGTGCAGTGCTCTGAATAACCCAACCAACAGCATTACAAAAAGAGGACGAAAAAGAAATCAACACAGAACAACTGAGCTAACAAACAATAATAATAAATAGCCAACAATGAAAGAACGGTATGATTTTGTATGATTTTATTCAGTGTCCAATTTCAGAATGTCAAATTTTGGTGTTCCCAAGCCCCACAGGTGAGGTGCTAGGTGGCTGCCCATGTTGCCTACAGGAAGATCCACCACAAGGGGCCAGTCATTGCATCTTGCCACCAAAGGGGCTCAAATTAGCATGTCCACCTGGGTGTTGTAGTTTCACCACTACTGATCAAAGCTGATCGGAGCTGAGCAGATAAATAGCTGTGACTACTGCTGAGTCATTTGACCCAGGAGTGAATGACGATTGAAACTTTTCCCACTGATTAACAAAACCAGATGTCGGCAGGTGTTAATGTGTTTTTGTGCAATTCGAAAGGCGCTTTAGTGTGCCCCAGGGATCAGCTCTTGGTCCATTCCTGTTTTCTGAGTACACACTCCTCCTTGACAACATAATGTATACTGAGACCTCTGAGACTGCTGATGATGATGCACATATTGTAGGCTCATATCTCTATCTTTTAATTGCAGTCATTTTATGCAGCTACAGTAACTGAAAGCAGCCTCGGTGCCATTAAAGAAAAGATGTCTCAAGCTTTTCTGCAACTTAACTATGACACAACAGATGTTTTTTCTTGGCCTAGATACTGTTTTTAACAATTATCCAAAATGAATTCTCCACCTTGAACAGAATATTAAACAGTATGCTGTTTCAGAGATTCTTCCAATTAAGACTTGCTGAAAACATGAAGCCTCTTCTTAAACTTTTTCAAAATACTTTATCGCAGGGTTTCTTTCAACATCTTACAAATATTTTGTACACTCATTACTCGTATATTTTTATGCTTTTTGTGTAAGTTAAAGCTTCATACATAGAGGCAAGCAACCATGAACAAATAAATGAACTCTTCAACTAAAACATGTTGAAAAAGTCACCCATGTCTTCATCACATGATGCCTCCACCTCAATCAATCTGACCTTGCTCAGGTCCGACTGGTTTAAGACTTAAAACAAAGACATAGATCACATTTTACTCCTCACTGCCTCTGTTTTCAGTTTAAACAATTCACCTTTGACTTACAAAGCAGTTGCATGACAGGTCAGAAGAGATATTCCCTCTCACCAGTGGAAGAAGCCTCAGGTCCTCTGAGCAGGGACTCTTGTGTGCTCCAACTGAAAGCTAAATGTGGCTGTATTATTGCTGTTGTTGCTGCACCTTGAATCTGAAACAGCCCTCCTCAAGGTCTCAAACAAGCTTAACCATAACATATTCTCAAAATTTTGCATTCAAGGCTTCTGGCTTTTTGTGGTTTATTCGAAATTTAGCAGTAGAGAAATGTCAAGACAAGGAAGAGACATGGATGGACGACATGCAACAAAGGGCCAGACTTGTTTTGGGGAGGCTGTGGCCCAGGAACAGCATCAAACCTCTAAGCGATATGGACACATATTCAGTAATCAGGTGCACGGTGGTGCAGTGGTTAGCACTGTCGCCTCACAGCAAGAGGGTTCCTGGGTCAATCCTAGGAGGGAGTTTGCATGTTTTCCCCGTGTCAGCGTGGGTTTTCTCCGGCTTCCTACCACAGTCCAAAGACATGCAGGTTAATTGGTGACTCTAAATTGGCAGTAGGTGTGAATGTGAGTGTGAATGGTTGTCTGTCTCTATGTGTCAGCCCTGTGATAGTCTGGTGACCTGTCCAGGGTGTACCCTGCCTCTCATCCAATGTCAGCTGGGATAGGCTCCAGCCCCCCGCGACCCTCAAGAAGATAAGCAGTTACGAAAATGGATGGATGGATGGATATTCAGTAATCTGTGATGGTTCTGTTTTGGTTTTGGTTTTTGGGTGGATTTTTGTGTGTTCTCCTTTCCCTTTTTGTTTCTGTTTCCTGCCAGGCTTGTTTGTGGCAGGGGGATGTGGCTGGCTCTTCCCACTGCAGCTGACGAGGCACACCTGTTTCCACTCAGCTCATCAACCTGCCTATATATAGCCGGTCTTCATGCCACAACACAGCCAGATAATTCCGTCTGTGTTGGTATGCAAAGTTCTCTTTCAGTGTTGCTTCTCTGGTGAGTTCTGCCTTGGGGTTTTTATTTTTCGTGCTTCATGTGTTTTTGTGCTTACTCATATTTTTGCCCTGTTTCTCAAAGGCTACCATGTTCCTTGCAGTTGCCAGTCTCAATGTCTACAGTATCTTAGTAGTTTTCCATGTGCTAAGTCCTCGTGTCACCTCCGGAGATCCGTCTCTCTTCACCGGTGGACAACCTCCTAGCCAGCCAGCTCCCTGCCTCCACTGCCTGCAATTTTGTTTTTCCTTCGCCATAAACTCTTTTGTTTCCATACACCTGTGTGCTGTATCTGCTTTAAGGTCCAGCCAGAAACCAAAACTTGACAATCTTTTTATCAGTGCACTTTAACTTCTGTTACTCACTTATTTTGTTACCTCTTTATATGGAATCACCTAGCTATACACACCAGTTTTCTTGGTATACTACTGTGACATGATTAAGTGCTTTGCAATGGTTGCATTTATTGCTACAGCTTAGTATTAAACAATTTCTGTTTGTACCACTGTTAGCACACAGAAAATGTGGCAATACACAGCAATGCCCCTGACCCAGAACACAGAGACAAAATATGTCAGAATGTCTTAGCACCATTAGATGTGTCTTTGCTCCACTGGTTTGGATGATTTGGGCGAAGCACTCTACTCAGCCACAGAGTTCAAAAGGTCCTTTTTATGTGTGAAGTTCATGAGGACAAGTTCAAGGAGTCTCCGACAGACTGTAGAGAGACAGTGCTTCCTCTCCTGAATACCCTCGATGTGCCCGGCCAGGAGGCGTTGCTTTTAACTTGTCAAAGTCAATATATCACTTTTCTTACTGGCTCATTTCAAGGGCACCGCTTACCAAGATGAAACACACGGACAGCTTTGACATGAAGTTGAGTAATTACTAATTTCACATGATGAGATTTTGTTCTTTTAAGACATGGTTACAATGGATACACTCATAGTCTTTTATACAATCATCTATCAATTGTTCAAGTTTTCAGAGCCAATTGTAAAACAGGAAGAAAAAAACCTTTCTGAGCCTGTTAAGATGCTCACTTGGTTGTATGAGAACAGAAAACCACTGTTCCTCTCCTATGATAACAATTTCCCTTTTTACACCCATTCAGTGATACTCTTGAGGACGCGTATGAATCACCTCATTATTTTTGGGTGTCTAAACTATCTGCCAAATGGTTTTGCCCAGTTTACTGCATTATCCAAAGTCCTCTGTCCTCTGCCAGACCACATCACAGGACATGTTGGTATATAAACTTCATCCAGTTACAAGTGTTGCCAGGCAATCGCTAATTTGTGTCAAATTTCCTGCCATTTGCAAGGGGAGACATGATTTGGAGAGACTCAGCAGAAGACGGCTGATAAACCTGTTGTCATTTTTAAAGGGACAGTTCACCCCCAAATTAAAAATACATATTTTTTTCTCTTACCTGCAGTGCTATCTATCAATCTAGATTGTTTTGGTGTGAGTTGCAGAGTGCTGGAGATAGAAGTAGTAGAGATGTCTGCCTTCTCTTTAATATAATGGAACTAGATGGCACTCAGTTTGTGGTGCTCAAAGTGCCAGCTAATACATTTGGAAAAACCCAACAGCAATGTCTCTTCCCAGAAATCATGACCTGATTACTGAAGACAACCCACAGACCTTGTTGTGAGCAGTTTCATGAAGGAACTATTTTCCTTCTACTGAACTACATTTGAAAACTATCACCACGCAGAAGGAAGTGTGCATCTACTGCTAAATCAGCTAGCACCACTGAGCTAGCTAACATTACAGCTCAGCTGAGGAAGATGAGTAGATGTACGCTTCCCTCTGTGCAGTGATACAGGGAATTGAAGTTCTTTTTAGCCTATTTTGTTAGTCCTTACTAAAAAAAATATCAATGCAGCCTTGAAGCAGAAAGCCAAACTGTAGATGTTTTAAGGCCAAAGCAGGTGAACAATGTGCGTCCAAAAATATGTACAACCCCACACTGGCGGTGGCTAGACGTGCATTGGTGCTCCTGGACACGCTGCCCCACGGCACTTCACACCACTGTCCTGTTTTCAGCCTTACCACCCCTGGAATTAAATGCATTTTTCCCCACTCACTCTCTGCTTGTACATACTGGCTCCTGTAGCAGCTCTATTTCTCTGCTCCTGTGACAGCTCGACTCCTCTCCTCACCATGGATGGGTAAAGATAACTCAGTAGCTGTTGCTGTCTTGTGTGTGATGAAGAATAAATGAGGAGACTCGTTGTCGAGGGTGAGAAATATCTCGTGTCAAACGACCCACAATCCTGTCATTGTAAAGAAAATGGCCACAAAGATATTGCCTGGGGAGTAGCTCTGGAGATCGGCTCTTAAAGTGAGATATCAAGTTTGATTAGGGGCTCTCCACACATGATTTTAAGCTAACGCAGCTCGATGAGCTATTCCAGTTTGTGGTGGCACTTTACGCGTGTCATATTATGTGCCGCACCGCAGTGGTGCTAGTGTGTTTTCAGCTTTAGGGGCGATAAGGCCTCAGGACTTGTGTAAATACCTAACTCTTATACAAGCAGCCACTAGAGGGAGTAATACGTTTTAATTTTGCCACCACAGAGAAAAAGATGTATGTATTTAACAGGAGAGTCACACCAATGCAGCAACTTTTGTCCATTTTTGGTAACAATTTAAGCGACTGCATGAGATGTGAAGTGAGGTTTTGAGTATGCTTTACTGCATGTGTTTTAGTTGAATAAAAGGGGTAGAAAGTGGAGAGCTATTTGCTTGCATCCTTTTCCTTGCTTTCAACAAAGAAAAAAAGCAGAAGAAGAAAGTGACATTTAGCTCTATTTTCTGTCTTGTATGTAATTTGACATTTACAATTACCGCCAAGATAGCTTGAAATGTAACATATAATCTATCATCCATTTTCAGTCATTACTTGCAGCTTTTTTTTTTTCAAAGGTGTTCAGACTTTACGTAAAAACTTAACTATTTAATCAGTGAGTGAGAGGCTTTAAATCTTTCTAGGAGGAGAAAGGTTAATCGCTTGTGCCCCAGAGCTATTAACACTGTATAACTGGGGACAAACTGGAAATGTCTGGCAGTTTTCCTAGACTGCAAGTGAAATATTACACACAGATAAAACCTGAAAACAAAAGGCAAATAGCTGAGAAATTTGGCTTTAACATCACAAAGGAGCTTGTGCACTGCAGTTGGTCTCCTGCTGAAAAATTATCTCATAATCTCTTCATATTTGCATATAAGACATTCAGTATTGTTCATTTTGAATGCTTTGCGTCAACATGTTTAGAGGCTTATGGTAAAGATGACACACTGTATGGTCCTATCTGATACAAGCATGCTATACTAGGTGTATATATGATGGAAGTGAGGGGGCTGGGGAGGTCATGGTTCAGCGGTGAAGCATCCTTGTAAAATGCAAATTATACCGCAGAATCTATGAGAAGACAGGCTTAAACTGACACTTATATGACAGGGGAAATGTCATGGTAGCGTTGGCTGCAAACCACATCGAGGAAATTGAATTTTTCTGTGAATTAATCTGCAGCCTGGGCACTGCAATTATCTCTGAGCAGAGAATACTGGTCAAGTGAACATCAGTATTAATAGGAATGAATAATTCTGATCTGACTGGTTGGAAAAAGGGAATCTGGAATATATTGGATCCCCTCCCTGAGTGTGGATATTGCTGTCTGACAATTTAAAAGACTGCTTGATGAATTCCATGTGAAATTAAATTACACAAGATCAGTAACAAAAGCTGCAAGGATCAAAATATTTTCAGTCTGCAACACAAAAGACCGAGAATGACTTGATCTGTGAGGAGAGGCCACAAGGAGCAGGAGGTTGCTGGCCTATCATATCTCTTTAGTAGCATAGAGCTGCATATTTATTGATCAAAGTCAGCAAATGTTGCAAAAGTAGGATAATGCATGTGTAAATCATGTATTAGATACACTATCTTACGTGGTCAGTGTGTGGATGTTGTGTTTCAAAGTTTTTAAGTAGCTCTAATTTCATATAGGCTACATATTTCTTGGAGCTGTTGCTGAACTACATGAAAAAAATGTCATTTTTTCTAATTTAAAACAATGTAAAAAAAACATGACAGGTACAAAGAAGGTGTTTTCTCTCCTCTCTGTTTTTTTGTCGCCTACAAGTGCCTGAGGCTTCAGTTCTGCCAGTCTGTTGAGCATATGGTGTTTATTTCACCAATTTGAGTGCAACAAATGGGTTTGGTCTCAATTCAAAATAAGGTACACTTAATTCTGACTGATCGGCCATACATGAAAGGGGAAAGCAACCCCAAAGTCATCTTGTTTAGTGAGCTGCCCCTTTAACAGTCTACTCACGTTAAAATAACAAGAATAAACAAAAAATCTGTGAAACAACATATTGTCATTGAGACTGAACATGGGAAAGAGTAATCATTTTTCACAGAGGACACTGTGACATTTCTCAGAAGGAAAAACACAGGTTTAGGTGATGAATTAAAGCTGAGCTGCTTTATTTTCAGGGTTCTGGTGCTGTGACTCACTGTCACACTGTCATGGCTTTCTGGGACACATAAATAGAACAAAGCAATTAATGTTATTATGATAATAGTAGCCTAACTGCTACTTTTCCTACAAAGACAAGTCAGAAAGTCTGATGTGGAAAAAAGGCCTGTGGACAATATTTTTATTAATATATGCACACATGGTTTGTGCCAGAAAATGTAAAACAAGACGTTTAAAGTCTACAAAGACGCTATAATGCTTATTGGGAGCATGTCTATGTTCCCAGGAGCCAAAGTTCCCAAGGTCCTTATGTTCCCAGGGTCCTACGTGCCCAAGGTTCTATTATCCCAGTTCCTAAATTAGCAAGGTTCTACCTTCCCAGGACCCCACAATCCCAAGGTCTTATGTTCCTAGGGTCCTAAGTTCCCTAAGGGTCTATGTTCCCAGCAAGGTTCTACCTTAGGATCCTAAGTTCACAGGCCGACGTCCAGTGTTCCCAGGGTCATATGTTTTCATTATCTTAGGCTCTCAGGGTCCTATATTCCAAGAGTCCTAAGTTCCCAAGACCATATGTTCCCGGGGTCCAAAGTTCCCAAGGTCCTATATTCCCAAGGTCTAATGGTCCCAGGGTCCTATGTTCCCAGGGTCCTAAGTTCCCAAGGTCCTATGTTCCCAGGGTCCTAAGTTCCCAGGGTCCTAAGTTCCCAAGGTCCTATGTTCCCAGGGTCCTAAGTTCCCAGGGTCCTAAGTTCCCAAGGTCCTATGATCCCAGGGTTCTATGTT